GTGTGCCTGGGGGATCTGACATTTGTAAGACTCTTAACAGACACTAATAATAATCTGGCCTCTACTGGTAAATGTTCTCTTTAGAATTTGGATTACTTAATGCCTCTTTGTCCCCGACTTTGAGCCCCAGTACCTATTCCAGGCAACAGGCAAAATTCATTCAACTTCCTATTATTAGGCCAATATCTCTCTACTCTTAGCTTGGCTGAAACCAAGTTAACCATTTCCCTTGTCACCCCTCTTTGGCTCACACAGAAACTAATGTACATTTAGATCCATCTTCTGAGATCTGGTGTCCTCAGCCTACAAGTAAGTCTTCGAGTATCTTTGCTTCCTATTGGTTGGCTTTGCATATCCAGTAAGTCCCTTCTGTCTAGGCCCTCCTCCTCAGACAGCGGCCTTCTCATCTCATCGGGCTAATCCATCTAGAGCACTAGGTTTCCAGAGGGAAAGACAGGGCACAGTCAAGCTGAGTAATTGCAGAGTGTAATAAAGGGATTGTCACAAAGGTGCAGGTGGGGTTTCGGAAAGTCAACAAGGTACGGGGCAGTGCCTAGGGCTGTAACAGTGGGGAGTCACTGCTACCCCGAGGCCTAAGGGTCCAGGGAAGGGAGCAGTTACTGGACCCCAGAGAGAGCTGTGTAGAGTGGGCCCTGGACGGGAGCTGTGGCCTTAGGGAGAGGAGCAGAGACTACTGTGGCACAACAGGGAAGGAGCTGGGGCAATAAAAATCCTGATTCGCTTCCCTCCTTTCCTTCCTCTAGTGCCTCCCAAGGAAGCTAGGGGATACAGTCCATACAGGTCAGCCTCCTGGGCACAGAGCAGGGCGGGGACAGTGGGGAGTAAACCTGGAGGAGCAAAGGGAGGGTATGAATGTACACAGCCTGTACCACTTTTGCCTCGTCATTCTGCTGAGGGATTTGCCATGACTTCTCATTCCATATTGGGTCAATTCGGCCTTCTCCCTTCCAAATTTATAGAGAACAGGCATTGTACTCACATATACTGGTATCCTTACTCTGTGTGTCTGTTCGATGTATTGTATATGTTATATACGTTTAAAAATCTTCGTCATTTATTTATGTTACTCTGATATCTAAGTCAATGAGATTTTGTGCTTCTGGGGACGAGCATCACCCCAAGCCTCTCCTGTGCAGTCTGGCAGCCTGTGATGAAAGTGGTAATCACTTGGCTGGTACCGAGATGGCAAGTGGATCCCCTCCCTGCTGAGAGCACATACTAAGAAGGCTCTGATAGGGTGGTAAGAGCCCAGGCTCTTTAGAATTTGGATTTTGAGCAAAATCTAGAGAGACTGGGTTAAAACGCCAACTTTGCCAGTTATTAACTGGACTGTGTTTCACCCCTCTGAGTCTGTCTTTTGTCATTTGTAAAATGGGGAGGATTCTTATAGCGCTTTTCTGTTATAAGGATTAAATGAGATAATACATGTAAAGAGATTTGGAAAGTGACTGATTTTTACCCACCGTGAATCACATGTCTGGCATGTAGGAAGTACATGATAACTTTTCTATCTTGAACGGGTGCTGAGGCCCTTTGAGGATTTGGGAGCTGATGATGTTAGTGGGTTCTGAGGTAGTTAATGCTCCCTCTCCACATCTTTGACAGACCCCCCCTGCCTACCACTGAAGGTTTTCTTCCTTTTTTTTTTCTTCACTGAAGTTTTTCAAAGGGGATCCTGTGTCAGTAATCCACTCAACACTCAACACTCACACCAGTGGCCTCTTTGCCTGAGGCTCTGTTATGCTTCAGTTTGAAGGCTACAGTGGAGAATCTCCTGTCACATTTCCTTCCCATGTCCTGGTTTACACTGCCCTCTGGTGGGTGCTTATGGGACAAGCATGTTAAATGAGGGTTTTGTGGTGACTTTTTCTTGACATTGGGGAAGAAAGGGACTGTTTGTAGTGCTGCTGGGGGTAGAAATAGTGTTTAAGACCCCCATTCTCAATTTAGTTTGCAACTCTGAGATTTACCAAAGACAAGAGGCTTTTTGCCATGTCCCTGACTTCTGAGCCATGAAATAATGTCATCCTTCTAGGCTCAAGTTTCTTTTTATAACAGGCAATTTGTGACTGGCCAACACCCAAAAGGAACATGGTAAAGTTTGATATCATTCTAATACCTGGGTACCTAATTCTTAGAGTTGACCCAGCTGCTCCCAAGGGTCTGGGGTCTCAGGAGACATCAGAGCCCAAGAGAGACCCAGAATGGACCCTCCCTATCCGGCGCCTGAAGTAGCCTGCTCTGTCCACCCGCTTCCACCACCCTGCCTTTTGTCTGTTGTCCCTTCTCACAGTTGAGCTCATGGTCAGTGAACACAAAGTGGGGTCCCACAGGCTGGAGGGGATCAATGAGGGCTTATGTCCAGCACACCTTCTGCTGACTTTGCTGTGGAAACTGCTAGAAGCATACGCCTTTTACCATTAAGTTGCATCATGAAATTGTCACTATGCAATCATTTTTGACCTACAAAAACAGCAATTTCATATGGTTCAATGTAATGCTTAGGCATCTACACCCTGTATATGCCAGTGGTGGCCCTGGAGTCCTAAGTTCCCAGGCTCATTCAGACCCAGGCTCATGGCACATCAGGATCCTGGACTGTTGAGCTTCAAGTAGGGCCCTAAGGCCCTAGAGAAGGTCGAGTTAATCTCAAGGACCCGGGACAGGCTCCACTCCCGGCATTAGGCCCTTCTATTCCTGTGTGGGTTCCATGATGACCTCTAGGCCAGGCTTGATTTGCAGTGTACAACCACAGGAGGAGCCATCAGCACCACCCCAGGTAGCAAGGGAGCCCTGGACAAGCCCTCGTTTGGAGCTAGACACAGGGTTTTCTGGGAGCTTCATGAGGCCTTGAGCTTCTGGACTTATCTAGCACCCCTCCACCTCACCCTCACCTCTGCTGCCCAACTCCAGCAGCCTGGCTGCTGCATATGGGAAACTTCCACCTGTGCTGGAGCCTGTGGGCTGAGCGTGAGGTCCACCAAGACACCCTCAGGTGGCTCCTGCGCCCTGCCAAATCTCAGGGCCATTCACTTCAGCAGGCCTGGTGCAGGAGGCATCTAAAATTTGCCCAGGGAATGAAAGCAAAGTGGCCCAGGAGGTTTAAAAGCTGCTGAGTAATGGGAGGTTTATGAGTCAGTTCATAGGACTCACAGAGAATGAAAGAATTTCAACTCTGAGATTCACACGCCAGCCCTGTAATCCCTAGACTGACAGATAGATCTTGATGTCTTGGAACCTGGTGCAGGTTAGGGACCTGGTCTCTTTCCTCTTAGGAGGATGCAAACAGGAGTGGGAGGGTCTCAGTTCAGATCATTTTAACATCCGTCTGTCCATCCATTTATCTATTAATTAAATGAATGATTATCGAGTGCTTATATGTGCCAGGCACTGTGCTAGGTACTTGGTGTAATAGCAGTGAACAAAACAGACAAAAATCTCTGCCCTCCTGGCATTGCTATAATGGGTCATGCCACTAATAACTGTGCTGTTGCTCCACTAATATTTCTATTACCATGGAATAATTAAACATATAAAATGTGTTTTTCTTAAATTTTAATAAGAAATATCCAAGATATAATGTTAAATAAAAAAGAGTGAGAGAAAATTGTATAGGTATTTTAGTTCCAATTCTGTTAACATATATGTGCATAGAGAAAGGAAAGGTGGGAAATATCCCCTAAATACTAGTAGTGGTGTAGCAGACTGTATTTTCTAAGGTGACCACAAGATCTCCCATGCCCTAGGCTCTTCATACAATGTGACCTTGATTTCTCCCATGGAGAGGTGTGGTCAAAGTTTCCTCTCCCTGCATCCATGACGGTACAGCTTCTGCCTGGTCTTCCTGGGATGCTCTTATTTGGAATGCCAGACGCTGTGAGAAAGCACATGGAAAAGCCATGTGTAGGTGATGTGGCAAAGCCCCAGCTGAAGTCTCAGCTGATGAACAATACAAGTCACCAGACATATGAGTGAGGAAGTTCCAGCCACTTTCTGATTGCAACTGTCTTAGACTAGCCAACTCCCAGAATCAGGAGATAATAATGATGGTTGTTTAAAGTCACAGAGTTTGGAAGTGATTTTTTGTACAGCAATAGATATTCAAAGAAAGTGGTTTGTCTGGATTGTGGGACTATGAGTATTAACACTACTTTTCTATATTTTCCAAGGTTTCTGCAATGATCATTTATTTTATAATCAGTAAAAAATTGTTATTAAAAATAAAAACAGTCTAAATTTTTTCACTTCTCTTACGGAGAAATTAGACTTGAATTTGATCTGAGGGGCTTAAACTAGTCTTGGAGAAAAGTTTTCCATGCAAGACTGATTAGGTACTGGTAAGGATTAGAAACAAATTC